GTTTCTAATGGCCTGTAAAATATTCGCCATTTTTGAGACAAAATACCAAACGCATTTTCCACGACCCTTCTAGCTCGACAAAGTCTTGTATTTCTCTTTTCTGACGTCTGTTAAAGTCTGCTTATAAGGAAATGGTCTCATAAGGTATGGTTTTGAAGCAAATGCTTCATCACCAATTAAGACGTACGAGCAGATTTCATTTTGCCCAGGGAGAAATCTAGGTGCAGGGACACTCATTAAATTTTGTTCAAATCGTTTTCCCATGTTTGAGGTTTCGAAAATACCCCCATCACTATTTTTTCCGAAACCACCAATATCAACACATATAAATTTATAGTCCGGGCCAACAATGGCCATAAGTACTATTGAATATTTATGTAAATAGCACCAGTAATTGGAGCCACTGTTGTTAGGTCTCTTGATTGTTACATGTTTACCGTCCACGCTGCCAATGCAACTGGGAAATCCCCATCTATTTTCAAATTCTTCAGCACATTTTTTCCATATATTCTCTGTTGGTTCTGGTAAATATATATGCTACATATGTCTGCATATCGCTTCACAGACTTCGGTTACGATTGCACTCACTGTTGTAAAGCCAACTCGAAAGCTATGCCCAATGGTATAGAAGGTGTCACCAGTGGCAAGGAATCTATAAAAAAAATCGTTTTTAGGTGATGAAGTAAAAAAAAGGTGGAAGAATATCAGAGACACATTTGCAAAATATATAAAATCTACCAAACCAAAGACCGGCCAAGCAGTGGGCAACATAAAAAAATGGCAGTGGGCTGACTACATGGAATTTTTCCGTCCTTTTTTGGCATTTGCCAAAACGTCGTCTAATGTGAAAGATATTGACGTCATACATTATGAGACTGCCGAATTTAACTCAAATATATACCAGGAAAGGGCTGGAAATGTAGAAACCGAAAATTTGGAAGACCGCGGCCATGGAGAAGATGAAAATGCTGATGTAGATGCAGAAGATGCACGGAACGCCTCGGCAACACAGACAGCACCACCTTCTTCATTGAACACTATAGCAGTGACTACTCCAGGGCACACCTTTCCGCAGACTGCAACTACACCAAAATATAAAACGAGCAGAAAACGCTATGAACCACCATCTTCGTCTGTACAACAGCTCATTAATTATTTTGAAGGTAAAAAACCTAAAAAAGAGAACGAGGCCATTGATTCACTTTTCTTGGCACATGCACAGACTGTGAAAACACTTCCCTTAAAGCGTCAAGCCCGAATAAAACTAAAAATAGCCGAATTAATAGCGCACGAAGAATTTGAACATATTGAAGAAATGTCTTCAGCGTCTACCCAGAATTCTGCAAGTATGTATGATAGTAGTATGTCGTCCTTCCCAAGCGGCACTGGGTTTCCCCCAATAATATACCCAACAGAGGAGGCAAATTCTGCCTCGAATTATTTAGCAACATTTAATCCTAGTGGCAACATGTAGTCCAATTATTACAATAAAATATTTATTTCACGATCCCTGAAGTTTTCGTATTCGATAAGCCTACTAATTTTAATACATATAATTTTTTTACCTGAGTGTAATAGCAAGTCGTTCTTCTGGCGAAATAGCTTCACGATAATTTGTGTCAGATTTTCGTATTTCATCTTTCACCAAGTTCAATATTTCATCGAAACACTCTGGAGTCATTCTAAAATATACGTAAAAGCGTTGTTCATCCAGCCGAAGTTGTGGCATCAAGGTATGGTATTCCCCAAATTTATTTCGTTCCATCATATCATGTACCCACTTCCTTCGTTTTCTAAACAAAATTGAAAATATTTGTTTTATGTACTTCGTTAAACTTAATACATACCCAACTATCAAATGGCGTTAAATAAACATAACTTACCGTGCATTTTGTTCCTCTTCTAAAGCAAGAAATAGAAGTGCCTCCTCTTCTTCTGAAGACGAGCTCATTGCAAAAGGCAAAAATAAAATGTACGCCTGTCGAAACCTTCACGTTCGCGGAGCGAATAAGACGCTTTGGTATGAATAAACAGGCGAAACAGATTGCAAATTTCGCTCTGAATTTCGTTGCGAATACTTCGCCGCGATTATTTCGCGCCGGTTTGTGGGATGCTTACGGCATATTCGCGCGATAGTCAAAATAGTTGTCTTCTAGTATCCATGGTAACGTTTATACAACAAACCCGAGCCTTGTCGTTATGCTGTGCAAATTTACTACTTTAGCCTGATGTTTAATAACTGTTAAAATCTGTAGTTCAGCAACAATATTGCAACTTTTGTAGTACAAAATTGCTGTGCTCGGCATACATTTGTTGCTAAATATATTGGTATATAACTTCACCATAACCTAACTTTCTGCTGTCGTCTTTTTAGTTAAAATGCCATAACCAATATTTTAAGACAAAACGACGCATGCATATTGGTTTAAGAGGTTTTATAAACTGTTCAAACGGAAGATATAGATCTGGTACAAATTCTCTGGGTAAATCATTCGACTCTATCCGTATTTCATTTCAGAGATTTGTCAAATTGTTGTACAACACCTGCAGACAACACCAAAATATTCTAATAAACCAAAGACAATATGGACGATGCCATGATTATACATAACCACCCGCCATATAAAAAAATATATTCCTCTATTGGAATTTAAATAATTATCTTTCAGTTCGACATTACAGATATAAAGTGATAAACATTAGTGTAACTGTGTCTAAATATAGGATTTGTGGAAGATTTAACGCAGATAAGTTCAGATTTTTATCTTAAAAAACTAGACATGCTTTTAATCCTTATTAAAATATGAATCAAATACGAAGCCTGTAGAAATTGCGTAACTGCTTTGCACGATAAACACAGTAAAATTTGCTGCGCAAGTAATTCAATAGCCCTATATGACAGTGTAGAAGTTTATCATATACCTCTGTCTATGAAATTCGCAATGGCCGATATGTAAGTAAACAAGAATACTATAATGTGGTAGTTATATATTCTTCGCTTCGCCTATACAATATACAGGGTGGCGCAACGGAAACGAAACAAGCATTTACTGGCAGCTCAGTTTTTTTTTTTGGAAAAACGTTCAGACCCGTTGATTTTGTTTTCACAAGTTTGGCAAAAAATCACGTTAACACGTGCAGCCCCCTGGGCGGGGGTGACACCCACCCTAACATCTTAAATGGAAAGGGGGGTCGAATGATACCTTATTTTAAAGGTCTTTCAATTCACTTTATAATGATGTCAAATACATGAGCTTCAGTTCAGCAGTTTTGAAGATTTATTGATTTAAAGCTTAAAGTAGACTTTAATAAGTACATCAGATTAGTTTGTACTACTTTCAGAAGAAATTTGACTAAAAGAATTTACTTAATAAGTAAATGCTTTTCTTCACTACGCCCATGGTTTGTTTATCATTTTGTTGTTGAAAATAGCTATTGGAGCTTTTTTTTGTGGCAAAACAGTTATTTCTTGAAGAAACATAAGGAAATATCTCTTACTTATTTTAATTAGGAATTTAGTACATAGTTTGCGATTGATTTGACCAAACTTTGTTGCTAAAATAACTTGTAACGCTTTATTACATAAATTAACCATGGTATATTACACAGCAGAAAGAGTTGAAATTATCGAAACAAATTTCGGAAATAATCAGTGCGCTAATAGAACAGCAGAAATATTTAATGAGCGACACGATAACAGTAACGTGCATCGAAAATATGTTCTAGAACTTGGAGCTAAATTTCGGAAAACTGGGTCAGTCGCCAGTAAAAAACGCAACATTGAAAATCCCATAAAGAACGAAGCAATAGAAGTGGGGGTTTTAGGGCAAGTTTATGTAGATCCTACGTTAAGTACCCGCAAATTGGAGACTGTGTGTGGTGTTAGTCGACGTACTGTCCAACGGATTCTAAAGGCCCATACTTTTCATCCGTTTAAAATTCACCTGCTACAAGAACTTAATGAAGACGATTTTGATCGGCGATTTCAATTTTGTGAAGATTTGAGTGAAAGAATTATAAACGATGAACATTTTCTATTCAACACTTGCTTTTCCGACGAATGTTCCTTTTTCTTAAATGGCGTAGTAAATCGTCATAACTGCTGATATTGGTCCGATTCTAATCCCAGAATTTATCATGAGGTTCATACACAGCAGCCACAAAAATTAAATGTTTGGGCTGGTATTTTTGGCGATCATTTAGTTGGTCCTTTTTTCTTACCGGGAAATTTGACCGGTGAAATATATTTGGAATTACTGGAAGACGCCATAGATCCTGCATTAACAGCCATAATTGAAAATCAGAATGATCGGCGGTAGATTGCGAATAGGTTGATGTCCCAACAGGATGGTGCCCCACCACATTACGCATTACGTGTTCGACAATATTTAGATCAGACGTTACCAGATCGATGGATTGGTAGAAGAGGTGCCATTGAATGGCCCCCAAGATCGCCAGATTTATCAGCTTTGGATTTCTATATGTGGTGTCATTTAAAAAGCAAAATCTATGCTACTCAGCCAACATCATTAGAAGACCTGCGACAAAGAATTGTGAATGAATGCCTTCAAAACTGAGCTGCCAGTAAATGCGTCTGTTTCGTTTTCGATGCGCCACCCTGTATAAGAAATAGTTTGGCTGCAATAAAGGAGAATCATGTAACAGAATAGTTGTGTAGTTGACAAAAACTGAATCTTGCATTGACGCAAATGTTCTACAGCGGCTGCAAGAGGCTTGCACTTTTGTTGTATTACTGTTACCTGCAGCCCTTATACAACCTCTTAAATGACTGAAGTGTCCTATTAGGTGTGCCCATTCCGATTGTACAGCTGTTCTAAGACCGTTTTGCCAATTGTCTTACAGCATACAATGCTGTGTAAGGAATACTGTATAATAATTTTTGCAACTCTAATAGGAGTGATAATTGTTAGTGGGGACTTACCTCTAGCTATTACCTTCAAGCACATAAGATCTATCCGTCCCGCGTCAGTTCTATCCACTTCAAAGATGTTATTATACCGAGGGTCTATCTTGCTGGCCCAGACACGAGTGGATTCCAACGTTTGCATGTTACAAGTTTCTATAGGGATGCTTTTGTCTGGTCTCTCACACGCCTCTGTTTCTTTTGAGGAGCAGGTATAGCATTTAACTGTTGCGGAAGCTGTCAAAAAAAGAATATTTAGTAAAGAATTTGGTGTCAAGTAGGTTGACTCTATAAAAAAATTGAATTGATCATGTTAGTCAAACAAGCTCATGCAACCAGTCTATCGTCCCTACCCAGTTGGCAGTGTTACGAGGTGCATCCAGAGATGCGTGCGTTGAAAATATTTCTCTATCATTCAAGTTTGAACGACAAATGTACATGTGATGTGTGAAATATGGTTCAAAGCTGAATAGAAATAGCGGGGCTGGAAGCGTATAGGTATATTAACGCCAAAAAAAAGGTACACTCTCCCACCCTACCTACAACTCCTCCATGTTTTTTCCTGGTAAAATGACCAGGAGAGACTAAAACGTCGAAAATGAAGTTTTAGTGGTCTTTATTTTCTTCGTATTTTGTCTGTGGCTCGAAACACCCTGAATACCATCTATAACACAAGCTATTGAATAACTCCCAAAACGATTGTGCTCTCTTTAGAAGCTCCGGATAGTTGCGTTTCTGTTGTATTTCCTTGTAAAGTTTGGCAAAGTTCCCTATCCGTCCGGTTTTTCTTGTTTGAAATGGGTCTGTGAAATAGTTTCAGGGAACAATTCATATTTAAAGATTTTAGCTGGGATGACACAATTGCTGTAGCTCTATAGCCAATATGTATATCAAAATGATAGAGAGCTCAGTGTCTGCAAATATTTTTTAACGCAGAAAATCAAATTCCCTCTATAATTTGTCAAACTTACAAAGCTACTAATTTTTATAGATGTCCATGGGCGTCTTCAAAATGTTTTCTCAGCGGGGAACGCTTAGACATCTTGTATGTCATTATCTACGGTTCCAGAAATTTTTGAAGAGTGAGCGGCGGAATATTTTCTCAAGGGAGGGACGCAGATCTTAACATATGATGATGGGGTAGCCAGATCCTCAGGGACAAAAATTCTAGAAAAAATGCGATAACCTGTTTTAGAACCGAGTCATATTCTTGAGGATACATGAGATACAGAAAAATGTTCGTTTGTAACTTTTATATTAAACGTGGAATTTGGAAAAAACGCTTTTTCGCATATACCTATTATTCAAATAGCTAAGGATTATGAACGTAAGTGGTTAGAAAACCTTGTGGAGAATGAAAATACCTTAAATATGAGATCTTACATGACCAATAGGGTGTAGCGCTGGATTTGTTGATAAAGGGTGTTTTTTTAGAGGTATAGAACTTTAAATTGCAATAAAACAACGATGGTTTATTCGATTGAAATGAGTTTTTTTACTCGAAAGAAAATCTTGTGGCATTACATTTTAAATATGATTTCTGGCATATGACTGCCACGGCTGGCTCGGATGAAGTGCAATCTGGACGTCCAATTTTCGATTAATTTTTCCAACATTTGTGGCCGTATATTGGCAATAACATGGCGAATGTTGTCTTCCAAATGGTCAAGCGTTTGTGGCTTATCCGTATAGACCAATGACTTTACATAGCCCCACAGAAAATAGTCTAGCGGTGTTAAATCACAAGATCTTGGAGGCCAATTCACAGGTCCAAAACGTGAAATTAGGCGGTCACCAAACGTGTCTTTCAATAAGTCGATTGTAGCACGATCTGTGTGACATGTTGCGCCGTATTGTTGGAACCACAGCTCCTGGACATCATGATTGTTCAATTCAGGAATGAAAAAGTTAGTAATCATGGCTCTATACCGATCACCATTGACTGCAACGTTCTGGCCATCATCGTTTTTGAAGAAGTACTGACCAATGATTCCACTAGCCCATGAAGCGCACCAAACAGGCAGTTTTTCTGGATGTAACGGTGTTTCGACATATACTTGAGGAGCTTCACTCCAAATGCGGCAGTTCTGTTTGTTGACGTAGCCATTCAATCAGAAGTGCGCTTCATCGCTAAACAAAATTCGCTTATGAAAATCGGGAACAACGCCAATTTTGTTTTGGGCCCATTCAACGAATATACGCCTTGCTTGATGATCGTTTGGCTTCAATTCTTGCACGAGTTGGATTTGGTAAGCACGCAAAACAAGATCCTTCCGCAAAATCTTCAAGAAAGTGGATGGATACAGATCCAATTCCTGTGCTCGATGACGGAGTGACTCATTCGGGTCTTCCTCAATGCTAAGCTCTACAGTAGCAATAGCTTCTTCTGTACGCACCGTACGGTGACTCTGGGGATGCGAGTTATCAATTAAATGGACGTAGTGCGCGATACGTATTCCGCACAGAACCATTATTTCCGAAATAAAACTGCACAATTATTCATGGTGAATTGCCAAACCAAACTGAGAATAAATCACTTGACAGCTGTCAAATCGGTCGCCATCTTTGAAAGTAATGCCAACTTAAAGTTCTATACCTCGAAAAAAAAACACGTCGATTTGACATTTATTTTTACCGGAAAATGAATAATAGTAAATGTTATGATAGCCGGTAGTTAAAACCTTTGCGACTCTTAACATAGAAAAAAATCATTCAAAATTGCTCAACGGTTTCTGCCTGATCACTCGTCTGTCTCAGAAGGAGGGTCATGTTTTTCGCGCGTAGGCGTCTGTGTGGCAAAATTTTTTTAGAGCCTACCGTTCAAACAGGTTGATGGATTTTGAAATATTAGATTCAGAATTTTAAAACACGGAATACATTATGTGAATCTCTTATAGTCCATATTATTGCTTATTGCATTACTTTTTAGTATCCATGTCTGGATACTGCATAGAAAAATAAATTACAAAAGTTTCAAAATAGCTGTTTCAGATTTATCTACAATCTTAAAAAATATGATTCAACGTCGGAAAAAATAATTGAGCTAAAATAGTTGAGAACAGACGATGTGTATAGATACTCAGTTGCTACTATGATACATAAAATAATAACTTCGCAGTCTCCCCCTTACTTATATAGGAAATTATTGTTTTGCTGCAGAAATGATGACATCAATTTCAGATTCAAAAAAAGACTTGAAATTCCATTATACAATAACACGCTTTTCCGTCGGTCATTTATATATAATTCAATCAAAATAACCAATGACGCATCTGATAACCTAAAAGCGCTTTCCATAGCTAACTTTAAGAGGAGTGTGAAAAAGAGGTTACTTGGTTACTAATTGTGTTAATTGTTGCGTTGTTAATTAAAGCCATGTATAGTTTCTACTATATAAAATCGCTCTAATGTCTCACTCTCTGAGCCTGTTTTTTTTCATTCAATTTTTTATTTTAATTATTTTCTGAAAGGTTGGAAAGAGTAGATATTTTCTAGACTCCGCCTTTTAAGGAGGAATTATATATACTAAGTAACATATAAATCCGAACACCCGGTTTAAATGGTTTTATTTTAATAAAAGTTGGTGAATGTATTTATCTTACTGTAAATAATAAGTGAAAAAATGTTCAGCCTTATCAGTTGGACATTCCGGTTTTTATACTGCTTTTTTTTAATTCACTAACGCTCTAAAAATGAATATTTCAGCCGCAGTAAAGAATCAACGTTGGCGGATTTTGATTCTTGACATCCTTTACGATCGGTTACGATGCCTAGAGTACGGAGACCTGTACGATTTCGTCAACCTAGTGAGTTTGATAGGGGCCGTATAATGGGACTTCGGGAAGCTGGACTTTCTTTTCGGGCAATTGCAGTTAGAGTGCAAAGAAGTGTAGACACTGTGGTTAGGTGTTGTCAGGCAAGATTATTGGCCTTAAGGGACCGTTTCTCCACTACCAGGTCCATTGCAAATGAATGGTTTGCAGAACACGGAAGACCTATTGGCATGCGAAGTGTTTACCGACGAATGAGAAGTTTTGGCTTGTTTTCATACCGGCCACACTGGGTCCTTCCTCCCTTTAACTCGAGAACACCGACGTAATCGCCTTGAGTGGTGCAGACAACGGTCACTCTAGGATCAGGAATGGAACAGTATTGTCTTTAGTGACGAGTCTCGATTTTGTTTAGGCATGCACGATGGTCGTGCCAGGGTTAGAAGGCGACGTGGTGAAAGGAGGAATCCACAGTTTTTTGTTGAAAGACATGTTCATCACACTGTTGGAGTTATGGTTTGGGGTGCTATAGCTTATGGTTCCAGGTCACCTTTAATCTTCATCAGAGGTAAGATGAATGCGCAGCGTTATATCCACGAAGTTCTAGAACCCCATCTTTTACCCTATCTTGACACCCTGGCAGATCCAACTTTCCAACAAGATAATGCCCGACCACATGTTGCAAGAGTCACAATAGACTTCTTTCAACATAATGATGTCACATTGTTACCATGGCCACCAAGATCTCCCGACTTATCCCCAATTGAGCACGTGTGGGATATGATGGATAGGAGATTGCTCAATTGCTCAGACTCTAGAAGCACTTCGAGAGGAGTTGGTGGTTGCCTGGAATGAGATACCACAGGAGGACATTGACCACCTGATCAGAAGCATGCCTAGGCGCGTTGGAAAATGCGTAGCACATCAGGGTGCATCCACACATTATTAAAGGTCAAAGGGCTTTAAAGCAGTGCAATCATTTTGAAATTTTTATCATTTACTTATTATGCTTCATTAAGTACTTATACAAAATTTTATTAAAATAAAACCATTTAAACTGGGTGTTCGGATTTATATGTCACTTAGTATAAATATGTAACGTATTTCTTAACAAAGACCCATTATTATTATTATCATTACTATTGATATTATTATTATTATCATTACCTCGGTAGTGCGAATAACACTGAGTATATTAAAATGTTTAAAAAGTAAAATGTCTGATTTTTAAAGAAATCAACCTTAAAATTCTTATTTCATATGCTACAACGTAAAACCTTGATGGTTTTTGACATGATGTGATGCTAATTTTTTTGACATTGTGAGCGACACTGGGTTTACTGAAACTTTATAAAATCAGAATGACGGATTTTAAACTTTGAAATTTCTATTTCACGGGCTACGGTCCAAGCGTCTTGAAGGATTTTGACATTTGATGTGTACTTAGAATTGTCTTATAGCACATATAAATCTTTATTCTTTTCAGTTACTGCAGTCGGGGTGCTTGTGCTTTTTTAAAATATACCTCCAAGCCAATATAAGATCTTTTCTCAAAGAAATCTGTGTCGCTATTAAGCCCAAGATTTGCAGTTTATTACGCTGCGCTGCTTGTTCAAAATTATGTATCATATTGCGACTTCAATCACCTTATAAAGATGAAGTAGTAAACCTACGTCCGCGTAGAATACATCAGCGAATCAAAATGCCATATGTCGGTTTTTGAGTTTTGTATTCAACATTCATGATGAAGTATATGTTTTGAAATCTAAAAATAGTACCCACAATTTTAGCTCTATCATAGGATATCTAGTTTGTTTACAAGGAATTGCTGGAGAGGTATTCAGTGTGCGCATATAGCGGTATAAATAAGCTCAGGCCAAGACCTAATACATGGTGTCCCAATTAAAATAGAAGGTAGTTTCATGAGGGAACTTGAAAAGTTAACACAAATCCACTTTCGTGGCAACCTTGGTATGTAACTACGGCATCTTTTAAAAATATTTTAATATGTAGGTATAGAGTCTTCCATAACATAACCTCGTGCCATAACAAACGAATACTCTTTTTTAAATGGAACATTCTAATGTATACTTGAACAGAGCTTCCAAGAACAAGAAGCTTGATATTATATAACATATGGTCTTAACTGTCAATTGCTTAGATACAGGTTGACCAATAGATTTAAATTGCGCGCCATTTTTGATAAATGCGCCGTAGTAGTTTTTTAAAGCACATGCGTCCAATTCATCATGGAGCGCTGCACGATCCCACAACGCATCCGTATAATGACCGATGAAGCCCACTTGATATGACAGGATTTTATTAATAAGCGGAATTGTCGTATTTGGGCATTAGAGAAACTTCGTGTCATCCATCAACGACCACTAGATCCTCTCGAGTGACAGTTTGGTGCGGTGTTTGGTATAGAGGTGTCATTGGACTTTTCCTCTTTGAAGACGCTACATTTCTCTTACTACCACTGGCGAGCGATACCGTGATATGGTGCAAAACTTTCTGCCTTCTCAAATCCAACAATTTAAGCTGCAAAACATGTGGTTCCAGCAAGACGGAGCAACTTGCCACACAGCTAGAGCGACATTGAATCCCGGGACGTTTAATTTCTCGATTTGGTGGCCACCAAGGTCATCGGATTTAACAGCTCCTGATTTTAATGGGGATTTTTGAAAAATAGGGTTTATGCTAACAAACCAAATACTGTAGAGCAGCTGAAGAACAATATTAATTAACATATTCCTTCCGAAACCTACCAAAATGTGATGGAAAATGTAGTCAAGGGGGCTCAGGTTTGCGCAGCTTCTAGAGGCTGACATTTGTCTGATATTATTTCTAAGCTTCAATAAAAGATTAAGATGAAAAAAATTGACGTATTTTATTTCATTTCACAAATATTCAAGATTCAAACCAGTCAGTTACATATCGGCCATTCTGTATTTAGTGAAATGTCTGGAAGAATGCCCAACTTTGACGGCTCGCAGCTTCGCCATTTTTGAAGATATTCAAATAAATTTTATTTCACAAAAATTTTATTATTATCGATTTTAAGATCTTCTGAAAGGAATGCTAAAATATCTTTCTATTCATACAAGGTATCTAATTACCCAAAATGTACCTTTTCATATAAATTTTATATGGAACACTCTGTATATTTTTATATCATTAAATAGCTTTCCTTTCGAACTTTTTTTTGATATAACGTTTATACCACTTTTTTCAAACGGTTTTCGTGTTATTGTTATTGATTCCAAAAGAAAAGTATATTCTACATTTAGACTTAAAATAAAGATATTTTTTTACGATTTTAAAATTAAAACCTCAGCATCCTGAACCTCCATTAGGGGGTATCTTATGACCCATGCTTATACGAAATTTCTGTCATTACCCATTTCCTAGAAATACTGCCTTTGAAAGACCGTGTATTGTGAGTCACTGCTCAATTGCGCATGCAACTGTTTGCTTTGTCTTGTACCGCAGTTCTGTATCTGAATATACACAATTTTGTGTCGATTGGAGACTGTTTAGAGCCATCTCCAAGAAGAATATTCGCGCTGAACGCTAAGCTTTCGTTTTGGCATACCAAAGTTTTCACTTGATTCAACGCAAGTTTATCCGAAAAAAGAGCGCTCATTCAAGTTTCAAAACTGAATTGATAAACTCACCCCTCTGTCCAAACACCCCAACAACGGCCACAGCAAAAATAATCATGTAGGCCCTGACGCGACCGGCTGCCGCGATCCACATGGTCGTTCGAATCGTGGTGACGGAGATGCGATGTTCAGATGTTCGCGGCGTCGAATGGCGAAGGAAGAAGGCGCTGAGACGGCGGTGGAAAGCGTCGCGACGGCCCGCTTGCTCGCGTCGGCAGGCGACGCCAGCAATCCAACGTACGCAGTGGCGGATGTCCAAGCAGAAGAAGATGGACCTCTGTGTTGTTTGTCACTTCTTAGAGTTTCAAAACTACTTAAGCTTCTACTACTTAGCCGATCTTCTTCGTATTTTAAAAAGTATTATGTAGATTTTTTTTTGACGTTGTATTGTTTTTTTATGAGATCATGTAGGTTTTTCGACATTGCTTGGTCAATGACGTTTCTGATCAAAAGTGACCGTGATGTCATTTTGGCGTCATGTTCACTGGTAGTTTTTGGATACCCTATCCGACGACGGGTTCTTGAAATTGGGCTAAAAACCTGTACTTGATACCTTCCTTCTTCTACAATCTATTTTGCGTGGCGCCGTAAATTTAGGCAAGGTTTTTCTAATAGTTTAGATTCAGTACAACAAATTGCAAGATGGATAGAATGGTGGATGTGTTACTATATAGTTATGATAACTATTGCTAAATAAGGTGAATGCTCTCGCTAGGAAGTATCTTCCATAACATTTGCTCGTCAAAATATTTTTCTTGAGTTTTTTTAATAAATATAATAGATAAAGACCCCTTAAAATGCATGTTGTCAGGTTGGAAATAGCGGCAAAAATTGTTTGAATATTTTTTAAACAATTGCAAAAATTATTCTTTTCGCTCTGAACAAAGGTTTTCTTAGGTTCTTTGAGTGGTTCTGAACAAAAATGGGATTCGTGAACTTTATACTAGAGCTGATAGCTTCAAAATACAGATGATTTAATATTCGAAATAGTGCGAAATATGTCTTTTTGGACACGGAAAAGCAATATGAAAATAAAATAATTTTCATAACGCCAAACTTCATAAGTATTCTTCAAACAACGTATTGAGAATCCCAAAGCATTTTTATAAGATATTGCTATTGTATACCCTTGCTTTTTAATTGTTAATCAAGCGCAGCCTCAATATATTTTCTGCGTGACTGCGAGAGGAATATAGCTGACCCACAGTTGTTCAAAAGACCTAGAACAGAAAAACTAGGAAGATTCACTATATTCCACTAACAAACTTTATTTGCATGTTTTTCGAGGTCGCTGATAATGAATATGTTATCATTTGTCCAAAATCAAAAAGGCGGACACAATATGACGGACATGTTTGCAAAAAAGATTTCGAAACCAAAATGACGGACATACAGGGTGTTTCAGTTTATTGTTGCATAACTTTAAGATTCGATAGAACTTTTAAAATTAATGCATAAAGTCTATATAAACATGGGTCGAAAGATGCGTGGCTTACGAAATACATGGTGTTTAAATTTACTTTCTAAAATGTTGTTTTTTAAATATTTCGAACAATATTTGATGTATAACAGTGAAAATTGGTATAAATGGGTTTTTTGGTACGGCAAAACGAACCATGGGCATAGTTTTACTGTAGCCGCTAGAGGGCGCTCTCTACTGTTCCTGCAGTGTATTAAAATGACCGAAAAAAATTTCTTAGTGCAATTTTCTGCTTTTTGAATAAAAAAAACTGATTCTTCGCACTTTTCAACATAAAAAAGCTCTCTTGTGAATTTTCGTTATAGTTAGTCGCTTTTGAGATATTTCGCTTTTTAAGTTTCGATGCATTTTTAATTATTTATGATAAAATAACGTTAAAAAGTCAGTATCTCGATAATTTTTAGAAGTAGGCTGTGCCTGCAAATATTTTTGAAATTGAAAGCAGAATAAGGTTAAACGTCAATTAGTTGACAGTTAGTTTTGTTGTCTGTTGAAACCTGAAACGTTTTTTTGCAATTGTGAATGCACGAAATTTAGTTTCTTTTACCTTTTTTTTGCAAGTTTTATAAAAATGCAATTTTTATTCTCAAATCAAGAGTCAGCGGATACTCATTTTGTGTATGGCTTTGTAAATGGAAACGCAGCAGAAGCAGCCAGCGAATACGCACGAAGATTTCCAAACAGACGACATCCAACTCGCTCAGTATTTGTAAGAGTGCATCGCCAAATAATTGAAAATGGTTTTGGAAATCTCCAGAGGGATCAAAACATAAATGTTCGTCAGCGCAGATTTACCCGTATGATTCTGCGTGAGTTTGATAGAGATCCGACCAGTGTTAGGAGAGTTTTTGGTGCCTTGTCAATTTCAGCAAGCCATGTTCACCGTGTTCTTAGAAATGACCATAGACGTCCTTACCCTTTGCAACCTGTGCAAGGACTACAGCCAGGGGACGGAGGATGAAGAGACACATTTTGTCAGTGGATTCTTGATAGAACTGATAATAATAAGGAGTTTTTAAGTAACGTTTTATGGACCGATGAGTCATGCTTCACTAGACGTGGAGTGGTAAATTTTCATAATCAGCATATTTGGTCGCATGAAAATCCGCATGCAGTTCGGGAAAGAAATTTTCAGCATGAATTTAGTGTGAACGTGTGGATTGGTATCTACCGTAATCGACCCTACCTTTTGCCTGCAAGGTTAAATGCTGCGACCTTCTTGGAATTTTTAAAGGCTGAACATGCAAATATGTGGGATGATGTTATGTTAGATTTAAGAAGATTGGCCTGGTTCCAGCTTGATGGTTGTCCAGCTCATTATTCGAGAATAGTTAGAAACTCGCTGGACGAAAATTATCCAGAAAGATGGATCGGCCGTGGAGGACCAGTCGCCTGGCCTCCACGATCGCCTGACCTAAATCCATTAGATTTCTTTGTGTGAGGATTTTTAAAAGAAAAAGTGTACCAGACTCCCGTAATCACAAGGGATATGCTAATAGACATAATCAGGAATGCATGTGATGAAATAAGGCCTTATTTGAATAATGCTATACCACGTTCGATCATTCGTATATGTGAATTGTGTATTGAACAATTGGGTTTACATTTCGAGAAACTACTTTAGATTTTGTATGTTTGTCCTAACTATCCAGTAGCATTTTAGTTGTAAATAATTAATTTAATTTGTTAAAAATAATATTGGAAAATAAAACAAATTAATATTCTGTTTTTTTGTGTTTATTTGGAGTTAGGGATTATTGCTGTGTTTAAAAACACAACCTAAACGATCATCTTAATTACTTGTAATGCCCATATCGAAAATGTAAAAAAAGTATTATTTTCCCATAAATAATTAAAAATGCATCGAACCTTAAAAATCGAAATATCTCAAAAGCGGCTAACTATAACGAAAATTCACAAGAGAGCTTTTTTATGTTGAAAAGTGCGAAGAATCAGTTTTTTTTTATTCAAAAAGCAAAAAATTGCACTAAGAAAAAATTTTCGGTCATTTTAATACACTACAGGTACAGTAGAGAGCGCCCTCTAGCGGATACAGTAAAACTATGCCCATGGTTCGTTTTTTCGTATCAAAAAACCCTTGTGTACCAATTTTCACTGTTATACATCAAATATTGTTCGAAATATTTAAAAAAAACTATTTTAGAAAGTAAATTTAAACACCCTGTATTTCGGAAGCCACGCATTTTTCGACCCATGTTTATATAGACTTTATGCATTAATTTTAAAAGTTCTATCGAATCTTAAAGTTATGCAATAATAAACTGAAACACCCTGTACATGTAAAAAATGCGCTCAAATTGAGTTTCAAGACAATTTGACATATTCTGTGCGTGATAAACATGATACCATTAAATAGAGCGGAGCCTGGCGGAACTTTTTTTCTAAACTACCTTCAAACTCACTGAAATTCGTTATTAAGAAAAAATATATCAGATACATGTGTAGTGTGTCGATTGCCATATCTCAGTACATCTGGTTATTTTGAAGCTTTTTCAACATTAACTTCTTGCCAGTTCGATGCGACAAACATGTACTTCCCAATAATTCATCATGCAGAGCCATCTAAATGGAACTATGAATTACGCATCACTATAACTGTGAACAAAATCTTAAGTTAAACGTGAAAAAAACTTGTTGGTTCTTAAGTGGTAGACGTTACGTGTCTACTAATCAGTCGCTGTGAGTTCAAATCCCCTCATAAGCGAATTTGTCTATTGACTATAGATGTTGTGGAGGTACCACCCAGCGGATCTCTAAGGTGTGCCCTTGCTGGAGTCTTTGTGATGCCTCCCATTTCCCCTGTATATTAATAGTAATAATAATAACAATAATAATAATAATAATAATAATAATAATAATAATAAATGCTTTTATTTTACCTGGAGGGTTACATCAGCCCAACCTGTTTTTCAACCAGGGCTAAAAGATACAAACGCATACAAATACAAAAAAATATAACTTAAAAGTAAAGTAGAAAAATGTTGTTCAGCATCGTAGTCTAGACATGGAATCATAAATAATAAATGGCAGAAGATATTTAAATCAAAAGCATCCAGACTCGTATACGAAACGTAAACAAATGAAAAGAGGCAAGTGAGAAGACAAGCACAAATTAACTACAAGGTAAATAAAATTAAATAAAATTAATTTTATTTTAAAGCTGGACACATGTAGAGTCTTCGAAGCTTGAGGTACTTTATTGTGCAAATCGGGTACCAAAAATGGAAAGCTGTTTCTAAATTGTGTTGCTCGATGCCGAGGCAAGTAAAACGCAGATTTGTTGACTGATGATCATATCTCATGCTAAGAAGGTGAATATTTTTAATATCAGGTAACCAAATAAGATCGTGCAGTTTTTAGTAGAAAAATATAAATTTTTATTGAGAAACATTGAGACATTCTTTATTCTCCGAAGTAATTACCATCGCATTCAATGACCTTTTGCCAACGTAGAACCAATTTTTGGATTTGGAGTAAAAAAATTGGCGGACTGCATTTATTACACCATCTCGAGTTGTGAACTTTCGGTGCCTCATACAGTTGTCAAGAGACAAAAAAAAGTGATAATCACTGGGCGAAATATATAGAGAATATGGCGGGTGAGGTAACGTTTCCCAGCCGAATTTTTTCTAGGGTCACTTTTGAGGTATGAGGCAAGAATATCACTTTCTTCCGATTGATCAAAGAAGGCTGTTTCTGGATGAGTGCTGCTTGTACTCGTT